AGAAAATACAATATGACTAGCTCCTTGTCTGTGACTCTTTCAACGGACTGAAATACACCAAATTTTCCTCGATCAGAAAGGGCTTCGTCCCGAACCAAGACGAGTCTTAAATTTTTAAAGTACTTTTCTTCCTCCGCGTGGCTATTACGCTTGATCCTCACCGATATCAAGTCATGAGCCTCCGATTGAATCCCTCGGGATAGCCGTGTGACTGAAGCTATTATTTTTATTGGAAGAGAAATAGCTGCGTGCGAATTCTAGAGCAGCTTAACGGGATATCGATTCAAATAAGGCTTTCGTGATGAGTTCAACGCATTTCAGGCTATGAGGCTCTTTCTAAGGAAACGCTTTGCTGGTATAAAGCAAATCCAACCACTTCAGGCAGAATCCTACATCCCGATAATAAAAGGGATATACTCTATGAAATTAGAAAAACTACGAAACTCCCCTCAGTCTCAGCGTTAGAATATTTGCAATCCTTGGACTGTCAGAGCTGCCGTGCTAAGGAAAAGCGCCGTATGAACATTCGAGAGTTGCCAAATTTTCTTCGATAAAATGTTTATTTTTGGGGAAAGTTATGAATATTTTTCTCTTAAATTTTCAGAATCTTTAGGTGAAATTGCGAACAAAATTATCTGAAAAATTGGGAGGAAGATATTCATGAGTTTATCAGGAAATTTGCGTTTTTTTAAAGGAAATTTGGCAACGCCTGAAGGTTCATATGGCGTTTTTCCTTCGCACGGCAGAAAGGGATGTATACATCGATGTATATTCAATTAAGTCTCCGCGTTGATCAAGGTTAAATCAAGCGAAGTTCAGTTCTCAATTTTTTAAGGGTTAATTGAATTCGCTAGAGAAGAGATCAATCGTCAAGTTTGTCTCAGATTAGTCAGATTGCTCCAATTTTTTTTTTATTAAATTTATATCTTTTGGGAGGAGCCAATAGTAATGGAGCATGACGAAAAACCGCTTAATTTTTAGAATAAAAACGCATTTAGGATCTAATTAATTAATCTCTTTTTTGTATTTGATTTATTTCAAATAATACCTTGCGATTCGTACTAAAGCAACGTCCGATGAATACCAGATATGCGGAGGAGTGTACGTTAATGCTTCTTTGCGTTAGGCGAGCGAACTTCGCTAATTAGATAACCGCAAAAATACATTAAAAAATGAATTGACGTATGTACTTGGACAGTTATATCTACGTCTTTTCAAAATAATTGAAATTAAGTTTTCCGAAAGAACCGTGAAATTACCGCAAACTCGTTGTGGTGCAGCTTTCAACTTTTTTTTAACACGTGCAGGCAAATGCTGGTTAAATTTTTGCAATCCTCTGTCTCATTTTACTTGCGTATACTTCTTTGTCCAGAAAAAGGATCCAGTCTCAAAGTGGATCAAAGTAAGTTTGATAGTTATTTTGTCGAGTAAAGCGCAGTAAAATATTTTTATAAATTTCGAGGTTCTTTTATGGGCAGTGAAAAAATAAAGAGCGACCATTATAAAACAGCTAGCAGGGCAGAAACCGTTCCTGTATACCAACTTCGTATGGTGGGGACTCATGAATCCGACATTTTATAGAGGGCAAGCAAGCGAAATGTGCTCAAGATCAGAGGTACGCAGATTTCGTCGTACCTTTGACGTAAGGACGTATCTCATTTTCCACGTGATCCCTGTCTCCCATATAACTTCATGCATTCCAGGGCTCATGCGGAAATCGATATACGCCCTTACGTCAGAGGAGCGACGATTTGATGGACCCATCAGGGCGTCTGCGAATGACACGAAAGAGCTGTGAGCTCTGAATACGAATTGACGGGCTCAAAAGTCGATGGAAATTCTCGGCTGCTCTTCGCACAACTAGCCATAGTTGTCATGATGATGTACTTAATACTTTTAATCTGTCACAAATATAACGGAATCATGTTGAAAAAGGTTTCAATGTTTGGCTGTTCGTGTAAGATTTCAGTGAGACATTTGTATTTCCTTCAACAGCTGAGAGGGCGAATAACCTTGAAAAGAATTTGATGAAAATATTTAAGTATTTCGGGCGCTTCTGGGTACCAGATGCGCCCTCTCCAGCCGTTCGGGTCTCCGGATGTAGCATGTACTATAGTACATGACCTTTTGCCTTGTGGGTAATGACGTCATTCTGGTACACGCGGTAAAATTTGGATTTTGTTCTTCTCTGGTATTTGTAAAAATTTTCGTGAAATGTTTTGCGTAATAGGTAATAACTCCATCCACCACGTCAGTAAATTTTCATTTAATGGTGAAAAAATATCACGATTATTGGTTATGAATCTTTTTAATAAAGAGCTCCTATGGAACGTCACGAATTTGGTACTTTGAATCTTAGTCTTTTTACCATCGCGTAGTTCAAGTATCATATAATTGAAAATCTTGACATGTGCTCATTCAAAAGTTTTGACAGCACACTAGACGCGAAAACCCGGTTTTAGATGAGATGCATGCTACTCGAATTTAACGAACGTGCATGTGGCTTGCGGAAAAAATGAAGGCGTTCTTGCTTCTCCGATCTACTTGCTTGTGAAAAAATTATTCTACTTCCTGAGTGTTATCTATTTACCAGCATATTTGATTACGACCAGCCTGACTCGTATCCGTAAATTGAAATCGTCCATCAGGGCATCCATTAAGTTAAAAGAAATGTGAAGAAGGCCCATAATCCTGGGGTGCATTGTGATCGACCCTTGGCGCGCAGACTTCGTTTTATGCCCGCGAGAAGTTCTGGCGTTTATGTTTGTCGTTTTCCAGAATGACATCTTTTACTGCCTTTTACCAATCTTTTCATTCTTGATCAAACACTCTGCTCCAGATGGGCCGCCACTCAGTTCGCCATGCTCGGGTCGAAAGGTTGCCAGGTGAATACTTAACCGATAGAAATACGTTTCAGTTTGATCGAATTGAAATATTATTTGATTCGCGCTTTCATGAGATACCGAACGGAATGTTGTTACCAAAGATAATATTTCTTTATCATCGCCACTTTCCGGCCAAAGTATCACAAGCGCCATGTGACGTTTGAAAATGTTCTGCCGCCATTTTATTTTTTTACAGAGAATCTGTTTAACGAAACGGTCCGAAAATTTCACTGAATTTTCTTTGTGCCATGATAAAATTCAGTGAAATTTTCAAACAGATTCAACCAATAAATTCTCTGTAAAAAAATAATATGGAGATGGAAATTTTGAAACGTTGCATGGCGCTTGTGATACTTCGGCCGGAAGGTGAAGTTATATCAAAGAAAGCCCCACACCTCTATTCTAAGCAATGTAAGTGATGGATACAAAAGATGACCCTAGAGATCATTTAGAAACAAAACCGTCTGGCTGCAAGCTGACGATTTTACTAGACGAAGAAAACACTTCGCCATTTTTGTAATTTTGAGGTTTGATTTGCAACTTTTTTACACGTAATTACAAGGCTCCCATGCGGAGTTTGAAAAAAGTCCATTGCTTCTTTCCTCAAAAGTATTAAAATCATGTTTGCAATTTCTCGAAATTCCATTTTTTGGTACAATCTGTCAACTGAAGTTAACATACTGAATCAATATTTGTCTTTAGGAGTGGCGTCCAATTTTGTGCGATTTACGGGAGCAAACTTCTCGATAGGCACAAAATGGACTCCAGTCACATCAATCTCTCGAAAAATCTCTCATTACCTGCCCTTTGATAAATCGATTGGAAGCAACCGAAGTCCCATTTGTGAGCTGGACTAGTCTAATTTTCCATCTTTAAGGCACATCCTTCAGCTTGCGGCGCGTTTGATCACCATTGAGCCCCCTCCCCCTAGTACATGAAGTCAGTAAGTGCCGAACACGAAAAAAAAGTTAGGTAATGGTTGCCACTAGCGCGTTAATACGAATCAACGAGGTCTTCGTTACTGTGAACGTGAGATTTTGAACATTGATGTGACAATGATTTGTAAGAAAGAGAAATTGATTCTTTTATGGTTGTAATAACATTTCAAAGGGTATTCACTGAAAATAGTCGATTTTCTTCTTCAATATGCAAGATGTAATTAAAGACTCATTGTATATAACATATTGCATATTGCTGTTCAGAGGGTAACAAAGCTCTGGGCGCATTTTCGTCCAGTCTCTGCATCTTTTCATACACACCATTCGCCCACACCAAAGAGAGCAAATTCAAGACACGCGGGCGATCGCAACATTTAAAACGAAAGTCACCATTTTCTGAAATATTTGTTTCATTTTTATACCGTGCTTCATGTTACTTTGAAACTGTGTTTGATTCTTTTGCGAATTAATTTTAGTAAAACTTTTTTAAGAGTCAGAATTCTATTAAAAAATGTCCTATCTTGCTTATAACGTTTTTTCAGTAGATACTTTGTTGTTTAGCTCATTTGGATTTACGTATGCAATGGAGATTATGAAAAGGAATCACCAAGTAAGAGTTTAATACTCAAATAAGTTACAAACCTCAATTGTATCGTGATTTCTGCTCAAATGAAACACACTTCATCACACCCTAATCATCCTACAAATTAAAAAAAAAAAAAAAAAAAAAAAAAAAAAAAAAAAAACAAGTCTACACCGCCAGATTTAGGACCTTTAATAGGAAATTTACACAAAACTTTAGATTTAATTTCACTGTTAAATGCATATTCATTCAAATCCTTCATTTTCTTAATAGCGCGGCGCTGCTCGAATGATAACCAATAAACTCATCAATAAAACTAAACAACCAAGAAGTACTAGGAAATTCATAGACTACAGCTGAGTCCTAGGGTAACATCGCCTAAATTTTGGGTAGTAGGCACCGTTCTCAGAGTTGTAGGACTAGATTTCAATCCGTTTGGTATCCACCCAAGATGTAGGTAATGTCTTTTAACCCTCTGTCTGAGTATGAACACCAGTCCCGTCTTTTCGTTGCCATTAGCGCCCTTCATTTTCATTTATTTCTTTTCAAAGCAGTAAGGGTTCAAATCATTTGCAAGATTTAAAATACAACAAATTGAATTTTTAAAAAGAAGTAACTTGTATTTTCTTGTCTTTTCCATGCGTTTCGATGTCTGACAGAAACTTTCCCTCGGTCTCAGGGAGGCTGAAGTAGGTGAAGTAGGCGCCTGCAAGGCTAATCACAGCATAAAGAAGAAATATCCCATCCAGACCAATTTGCTGTTCTAGAGATGGATATGTCTTCACTCCAACCGCTATGACAATATAGAAAAAACTTGAGCCAATAGCTGTTGCAATGCCCCGACCTCTGTGAACATGTGCCAAAAATCATTGTTATATTTCTACTGCACGTCTTACAACCCTAAGATGTATGAATAACTTAGTATTACACTAACAATTTATTTCATTTTTTTCTGTTACTAGTTGGAAATAAACCAAAACACACAGAAGTAATGAAAACCTATAAAAGATAAGTTTAAAGAAATTCCGGCACATGTCTACTCTTTTAAAGCGCTTACTTGGAATTGAGTTTAGTGAGAGTAAAGCATTAATGACCCTAGTACGAGTTTTGATCAATATTGATTATACTTAAATACATAATTACTGAAAAGCTAATGAGCAAAATTTAGTTCGTTAAAGCGGTTTCGTTAAAAGTTTGTCATGGCTACTCGTCCACTCCACTGCCTCATGTGAATGCCAAATATTAACAATAGAGCAAATTAAAGTACTTCCTCTCAAACTTACGAATACCTACATTGTTTCTTTCGCACAAATGTTATAAAAATGTGATTGAAATGTATGAAATAAGCGTCATTTATTACAAATAGATGCCACAGAGTAAAACTACAAATTCTTCCTGTACTGAATAAGTTTCCCTTGATGTTTTTTTTTCTATGAGTGGCTTCAGTTCTTACCTGTAAGGAAGAATCTCACTGAGGTAGGTCCAAGATATTGGGTAGATTCCTAAATTGTTGACAAAATTGACGATCAAGAACAAAATAAGACTCCACCAACGAAGAGAAGCATTGTTATGAGGATTAGTGGGAGCCATCAGAAACAAGGCAAGGAGGATAAGGCACAGAGCTGTGCTGATCAGAGAGAAAATAATCAGCGGCCGCTTTTTCACACGATTGATTATCAACATGCAGACAATATTCCCCACAATTGCTATCACAGAAATTAAAACCTGGAATTGGATAAAAAAAACAATAAAATTTAGTCAGCTCAAACAAAAATTTACAAAAAAAAAAGTTTCTTGATATTTTGAATTCATGCATGGTTCCGATTAAAAATACCTTGGTTTTTAAAGCTAACTCTAAAACAACGCGATCATGATACATTTTTGTGCTAATACCCAAATCTGACATTCGTTATACTTCAGAGTGTAACTGAATGGTTGACCTCTCTGTGATAATAATTGTATAAACAGAGTTTGAACTGGTAAACGCGCTTTTATAATGACGATCCTAAATTGAGTTTATATATTGTCCACTCAGAAAAGAAGTATTTTCTGTAGAGCAAATAAACCTAATCCACTTCAGGAATTCATTATCGGCATATTTACTATTAAGTAAAAGTTATTTTTAAAAATTTTAATTTTAATTTTTTTTTCAATATGATTATGCTTCAGGGGAAAAAATAGGGTGGTCGACACAACCAGCGGCAGCGGCTAGTTAAAATGCGCCAAGTACTGTGCGGTAGTTACGATAATAACTACCGCGATGGAGGTCATAACTAACCCGGTAGTTACATGATGTAACTACCGGGTTAGTTGTGACCTCCACCGCGGTAGTTATCGTAACGCACAGCAGCTGGCGCATTTTTAACTAGCCGCTGAATGTGTCGACTACCCTATTTTTTTCCGTGTTCCTGACTAAAGGCGACACTTTCAGAAAATTTAAAGAAATTCCACCGATATGAGTAAAATTGTTTCTCTATTGACATCCGTCATCATCCTAATGATACGAACAATTTCTTGTGATAAATGTTGGCAAACAAGCGCAGGTCTTCTTACTATTTCTGGCAGGGAAATACATTGAAAGTTATTGCCCTGGTAAAAATTGGCAGTAGAATCTGTGTTCCAAAATACCATAGACCTACAGCCGGCTGTAAGATTTCCAATAGCTTCTATAGCCGGCTACAAAATTTCTTTTAGCCTTTTATAGCCGATGGTGACCAAGCAACAGCCATGCAGGCGATAAAGTGTATGCTAAGCGTTACTAATTACGAATGCTAGGACTTGGTGAGTTTTTGGAATACTGCTCTCTTTTTGGGCCGAAGTATCTTGATTTATTTTACGAGGAAAGCTCCGTACTTTTGATGGATGCCTGCCATTACTAATATATTAGAGCGCCTTCAGTTTCGTATGATACTGTGCAATACCTCTGGTGTGAAATAGTTGCTTCAAGCGCCGTGGCACGCTGCGGCGCGGCGCGGCAGGTGGGCAGCCAGCGCGAAACGCGCATTGGCGCCTACAAACCTAACAGGGATACTTCACGCGTTGCGCAATGCGTGAAGTATCCCTGTTAGGTTTGTAGGCGCCAGTGCGTCGCCGCTCCGCTTTGTGCGAGGCTCTAATATTTAATCTGGCGGAGTTAGCGTTATTCAAGTCATGATTTTGAAATGTTTGCACATCCTGTGTGGATTATTCTCATTTTAAATGATGAAAAAAAATATGTATTAAAGGAAAATATAATGTGTGTTTTGTCAATATTAAGGTGGTTCCGTATCAAACTTTATGATTTCTAAAGCACACGAATTTCTACACAATTTCTTATAGCCTTTTATAATCGATGGCGAAAAAGCAACAGCCAGGCGACAAAGTGTAAGGCCCGGCGATAGGAACTATATCCCGGCTGCATAATTTTTTATCGCTTCGTATAGCCCGGCCGTATGATTTTCTCCGCATTCTACAGCCAGTTATATGATTTTCTGTAGCCTTCTTTAGCCGGCCATAAGAATCCCTATGGTATTTTGAAACGCAGCTCTTATCGCCAATTTTTACCAAGGTGAAGTTTTGATTTTGTGAAATACATACACTTGTCGTCAATCCATCCGTAGGAAGATCGAACTCTTCGAAAACTTGAACGAAGTAGGGCCGAAGAGACAGGAGTCCACTGCAAATAGATACAAAAAAGAGAACAATGCACTTTCCCAAGGGAACAAGCATTTCTTTGCAGGTCAGCTCTCTGATTTTCTCTTTAAGTCCCCTGCGTTCTTCAACCTCTTCAACTTCCAGGTGACCTCCACTGGAAGCGCCGTTAAGCACGGTGGGTTTCTCGTCCGCGATATCCACTTCTTTCCCGTAGGCGTGGATCGTTTTCCCCTGCTGTTTTTTGGCGTAGAACTGGAGTTTAGTGTATTCTTCTTGCACAGCTTCTTTCGTCGTCCACCCGCGGAGCCACTGAAGGGACTCAAGTGCTTCCTCCGAACGCCCCTTTGACATCAGCCAGATTGGTGTTTCTGGAATCTGTGTCAAAAAATCAAAACTTGTTTCAGTGTTTTTTACTACTTTTCGTATGAATTTCTGAATATGCGAATCATAATCAGGTTTCTCAATTTTGAGCTTCCAACACGTATTTTTTTGTTTAGAGGGAAATATTACATTGTAACTTTAAATAAACATAGAAACATACTTGAAGAAACGAAAAGAAACCGCAAACTGGAAGTGTCCCAAGGTACAATAATTACAACATATGGTCAGTTCCGTCGGGGTTTCCCGGTGCGTCTTTACTGCTACACACAAGATCGTGAATTAAAGTTCATTCTTATTTTTAAAATTAAATGAAATCCTTGGAGTAAGTTTTCGTATAGTTTTTAAGTCTTGCCCCCCCCCCTCCCACGCAGTTAACAATTTCCGTGTCCTGTGTTACTTTTTTGTGTAAGATCAACACAATGAACTTGGTTGCACAACACAAATTTGTGTTAAATCGACCCAAAGAGTATGTTACTCTAAGATATCGGTATATGAAATAAATGTCCTGCGGGACTTTTTTATTTTTGGTTTCCTCCCCGTCGCTCAGAGTTTGCGATTTGTAAGTGACTATCGGATTAGATTTCCAACGGTGTGATCCAGGTGCGATCCTGGGGGTTGGCGCTTAGTTATTAACGAGGTTGCAGATTTTCAACACAAGGATTTGATCAATTTGTCAAAGAGAAAAGTAACACACAAAAAAATTAACTAACAGTTTGTGTTATACCTCATACTTTGCCTCCCATATTAACACAAAATTTTGGTTACTTTTTCTTACTCTGCACATCCTTTTGCCACATGATAAAGTATATTTGGACTACATTTTGCAATTTGGAACTATAAATTGGACGTATTTCTATCAAACGGACCTAAGCGTCATGGGGTGAGGAAGGTAGATGATGGGGGCGGGGGCTTGGATTGGCGGCGGAATCGGGCGTCCGGCTTATTCCGTCCTATACTCGCAATGCTTTTCCATGGCGCTTAGGTTCGTTTGACAGAACGCGCTATCTAGGATTCTAAATTCCTTAAAAGGAACTCATATTGGCGCTTAGTTCCGTTTGATAGAAATACGTCCAATTCTAGCCTGGTTTAAAAACAAGGTATGTGCTATTAGTTTCCCCATGCGCATAAGTGTATTTTCAGAAGAGCTAGAATTTATAGCTCCAAATTGCAAAGTGCAGTCCATTTATCTTATGACTTTATCGTTGTGCCATTTTACAGCTTTGAACGTTACACTGCGAGGTAATTACCATTAGGAGTACAATAATCGCGAGTACAGGTGTTGAGGCGCTGATGAGTGCAACGTTGCGCCAATTCGTCACAAGCCCAAGAGCATAGACTAGCAGGAATCCTACGGTGACAAAGCTCGTGGAGTAGGAAGTCAGGACACCCCTGTAGTTGGGGTGAGTGATCTCACTAATGTACCGGCAAGTCGGAGCCTCCATCAACCCCACCACTGCCGAAGAAAGAAAACAACCCTTAAATTCACGAATTTGGACTCTAAAACAAATCGTCGATGAATCTGCACCAGACCACGTATTTTGTTTGCGGCGTTTGAAAATATCCAGTCCCAATGGAGATGTTGCATGTGTAAGGAATTTGTGATTTAATTGTTGATTCTTAAGTAAAAGTTCGGAAGAAACACGATGGTGCCAAGCGGTTTAGAGAGGCAATCATATTCATAATTCATAATGATTGAAAGATTTTGATGTGTTTTTTTCGTGCCCAAGACCGACTATTTTAATGAAATAATCATCTTAAGAGAATTTATTTTAGAAATTGTAGGTTTCACAAGCGGTCAATATTACCTAGTGAGAGACATTTTTGATATATGAAAAGACTACAATTAGCTTTTACAAAATACGGTTCTAAAACATTGATACCGTTAAAAGATTTATTACAAGTCCAAAGGGTAAAATAGCAACCTATCAAGACGTACCTCACGTAAAGTTTTATGATCGAACTCACTATGTGGATGAGACATATGATGAGGAAAATACAATACGAAAACGAGGCTGTTGGTTGAAAATAAATGAAAACGCACGACGATTCGGCGTTTTACGGCACTCTCACTCACCGTGAGAAAAATAAACGAGGAAATTCAAATCCTAAAATATTTATCACCAACAGAGACTAGTGATCGGCTAGATCATGGTCATAGATCCAGTAGATTATAATAAAGTCGCCGTCATTAGTAAATTTTTGGATTCCCTGTTTTCCTCGCAATTTCTATGTTTAAATATACCGAAGGGCACCAAAACCTTTCATGTTTTTAAAGATTATTTTTCTTTATTAATATCAGTTTTAAGTCCGCATTATGACTTTTTTGTCATATACATTATCTATAGCTAGCTCAAAATTTATTTAAAAACACGAAAAAATGGCTTTGCAGAAGAAACTGTGAGTGCTCTTGATCCGCATTGATTCGAGAGGTTCTCTCAAATCGCCTTCAGCTACGAAGGTAGGCAACACATCTCACTCGTGATTCTGCTCTCATGTCACTGCTCTCTCTAGTCTGGATGTGCAACAGGAGACTAGTTTTCTTGTTCCTCGCAGAGGTGGAAAATGAAATTCCCTGTATAGAAATGCATATTACTTTAAAAAAAGAGGTACAGTGAAGTAGTCCTTCCATTTTTTAAGTTCTAATGATTATTTCTGCGTCACCTTAAGTACAATTTTTAAAATTACTGATTATCTCAATTTCCACCTTTGATGCCAACTATCTTTCCTTTGATTTCTTTTTTTCGTTCTGAAACATTACATGCACGAATGTTTTACCTAGACCAACGAGCGCGCTCGAAATGTAGAGGACAAGCGCAGAGGATGCATAGTACGTCATAATCCAACTCACAAACTGTGGTATGTTCACCATTATCATGAGTTTTTTGCATCCCACTGACTGCAAGAGTGCTCCTGAGGCCAAACTCCCGAGAGGTTGAAAAATGTAAGTAAGACTCCCTGAAAAAGAGCAGTTACTTTACACTCTAGCATTCATGAACGAAACATGTGGTTACCGTGCAATACTAAAAAAATAAATGAGTTTGAAATAAAAAAAAAATGCGCATTTTTGCATATACACCGCGATAATAAGATATACGTTATTTTAATTATAAAATATTGATTTTTAACTATAGAGACTTGAACTTTTGCATGGTATAGAACAGCATAAAAAATGAAATACCATTGCTTTGGTCTAATGGAGAATTTTAAAGCTATTTAATAAATCTATGCTGAGAAACCTTCTACATTAATAGAGAAAAACGATTTTTTGGTAGTTTCTTGTCATACAGCAAAATGAATAGTTGCTTCTATGTCGCTATTATTCATGTTTTGAACCGCAGAGTAAAACTTTCTTTGTAATAACCAAGGACTCCTCGTCGCAATTAAGTTTTCTGGATATTATAACTGTTAAAAATGTCATAAAAACAAGATAACTAGTTTTCAAAACTATTAGACCCGGCGTGGTAAGTTACCTCCATATGCCACAACTAGCGTTTTCCTCGTTTTAACATAAGACTGCCAAATAATGTCTTTCCTTTGTCGCAATGAATCCATTTTTCCCCCTCAGAATAATAAAATTTCCAAAACTTTTTATTTACTACTTCAAATAGCCCACAAGGGCTAATCCCACGCTTTAAGTCCCATCCCCCCTCCGTCCCTACTGAACCAGTCCCAGGTGACCATTGTTTGAGACCATCAAACTCGGGTTGCCTGGCCGGGAATCGAACCCGGGACCTCCCAATCATAGAGCAAGCGCTACAACCACTACACCATAGGAGGCCAACTGTCCATAAGAAGCTTCATAACTATTAAAGAGCCAGGAATTTTTCACAAAGAAAATATTTTAATTTGACTGATAGCTTACCGTACCGTACCACGATGCTTGATCATTATCTAAAAACAACTCGTTCAGGTTGCTGGGGTCTGTCACGTCGGGGATAAGCAGCGTTGGTAGTCCCACGAGCATACCTAGACTCAAATACAGTACACTTTTTGCCGAGCAAGCCAGAACCTACGCAAAAACCGTCAAATAATCCTTCATGTACAATGTCATAATTAATAAAAAATAAACAGAATAAAATAAGATATCAAAAATAAAAATCTTAATAATCCAAATTTAATAAAATTAATGGTATATCAATTTACCCATCTACTAAATAACAATATAGCAAAAAAAAAATATCTATAAATAAAAATAGACTGCCAAAACTGAAATTAGAATCATTAATCTTACTAAAAACTTAAAGCCAAGATACCAAAGATAGTCAATTACGAATCATTTAATTAAAAATCCAAGAAAGGTGGGAAATCCAGAAATCCTTAAACCATAAATAAAAATTAAAACTCCAACATCTCGTCTTTCGACCCGTGCGTTCACCGCAATTGGTTGGTGTTAATGTCATAATTGTACATGAAAGCCGCTTTTACATCACTCTTTTAATAGTAATCACCTAGCCGCCAAAGGCTCCTATCCCTAGTTCAATATAGTTTCCACGGTTAAGAGATAGTATTATTAATAGTTTTTCATCCATGTTCTGTTAACTCATTTTAGTATAATTGGACATGAATTATTTTAAAATGGACGTATTTCTGTCAAACGGAACTAAGCGCCAAATTGAGTTCCTTTTGAGGATTTTAGAATCCCGGATAGCGCGTTCTGTCAAACGGAACTAAGCGCCATGGAAAAGCATTGCGAGTATAGGAAGGGACGAGCATCGCGTTCCGCAACACCAGCCAATCCAAGCCCCCCTCTCCCTTCCTCTCCCTATGGCACTTAGTTCCGTCTGATAGAAATACGTCCAAATGATTTCCCTATGTTAGTGAATCATTATTATTAAGTCCATCAGAGATTTTGCTTGCTACTCAAAAGTGCAAAATCAGAGGCAATCCCCATCCGTAAGGATTTTAGCTGCTACATATTGAAAAACTAATAAGGAACTCGGTCAGTCGAATGGCATAGCGAATGCAAAAGAGGAATAATGTGATATATGCTGCAAGAAAAATATTACAGGTATAATTGAGCCGACGATCATTTTCAAACAGGAAGTGGAAATATACATATGTGAAAAAAGTTATAAAAGTCATAGTCATTTAACTTGAAACTGAGAAATTGGTTAGCTCAATACATTGCATTAAAGTCATCGTGCCTGCACGTCTGCAATAATGTGAGCAACGGCTAATCATGCCTATCTTGAAAAACTTAGAGGTCTTATTTATACAAAATGACAAAGTTTGATTACCTGAGGCAACAGCTGCCGAAAGGTGCTGGGGTTGCTGGTTTCTTGCCGGGTTTCCATTGACTGTGGGAGATTCTCCATCATTGTTCCGTCTTTGAGTTAGTCAATGGTTCTTTTTTGTCGAGAAAAACAGAAGACGATTAACCTTACGCTCCATTTCAATGAGCACAGCGGAGAAGCTCGTAGGCAGCTGCGACTTAAATTATGAATTTGTTTCCACTAAGAAGGAGAAAAAAAATTGAATAAATTAAGTGGAAGGTAGGGCAGGGATCGCATACTTGCGGATGATTAAAATAACCTCTTTTCAAATGATGTGAACGTAAAAAATCATGCCTTGTTTTATACACGGGGAAAAAAGTGTTAGGGGCCATCCCCTAAAATTTTAGTACTACCGCAATTTGTTGGATGTCATGGATATTTCCAATTAATTGTGATATAGTATCGCAGCTCAAGTTGGGATAGTGCCGTAACGTTTGGGTCAGTAACCTAATTTATTGGGGGTGCTACCTCAATTAATCGGAAACGTCCATATCATCCAACAGCCCCGTGCTCTTTTTTTCTGTGTACAGAGCGGGGAAAAGTTCTCGATGATTACGCCTTCATAATTTTTTACAATTAATTAAATTAATTAATTAATTAGCAGTTTTTCACAATTACTTTAGTTATTATTGTTTATAGGCATGTAGGTGCTGAGGCTATTAATGTCTTGACGAAATTTCTGAAAGTGTAATTAAAATTACGAAAAATCTAAATTTTTAGCGTAATGTATGTGAAAAAGTTAAAACTTTGTGTTGCGAGGTTGGAGTTGAGGGCAAAGTTGCTTTAGTTGTATATTTACTGCATTCACGTCATGTTCAATTTAAATAGATACTTCACAATGATATTGCACACTTTTGAAGAGGTGATTCGATTAAAATTAACGTTGTTGGCAAAAAATCACAAAATTTAAAAAATAAAGGGAAAAATTAGCATTATCTCATGAAAGAGGAAGCAAGGAAGCACTGCGTTTGAAGCTTAGGTACCGAAAGTTCTCACCGTAAAACTTGGTAATAATGATACGATATCCTACCGGTCACGAATGCACTCGTGAGACTGTCTCGTATTAGAAATGAGGAACGAAGAGGAACTCGGACAATAATCACCCAGCGCCACGACCAGCCCGGACCGATCGTGACAGTAAACAACTTCATGAAATTAGACACAGAACTCGGCTTTGGTGAACATCAACATTCACTGGTCGCTATTTTTTCCTCGCAGAAAATTGACTTTTCTGGACGTAGAAAAAAATCTCGGGTATTTATCACGCACTCTCTCACAGTCGGGCAGTGATCAGCTAATAGAATTACATGTTGCATTCTGTGTTAAAGAGCGCCTGGTATTTTACTGTCTTTTTTTCTCGTTCCCGTCCTGCTGTCTGATTAGTTGGGAGAAGGGCATTCTCGACTTGGCGCACGCAAATCATGGAAAAATTCAACCTTGACGTTGGCATTTCGTAGAGAATCCAGAGCAGTGCATTGCATTGAAAGTCCTCAAAACGAAATGGACAAGGCAATAGGCGACCATAGTGTACTGCCGTGCTTAGGAAGAACGCCGTCCGAGCCCTAACACGATGCTGAATTTCCTTCGATAAAAACAGAGTTTACTGGAAAAATAATAAATATTTTTTTCCAAAAATTGTCGGACAATTCTGTACGCAATCCAATCTAAAATATCTAGAAAATCTAAGGAAAAATATGCTTAAACTTTGTTACAAATCCATTGTTTTATCAAGGGAAATTGGTCAACTCTCGAATGTTTATACGGCGTTCTTCCTTAGCACGGCAGTATAACACGCAGCTAAATTTTACAAACTCTCTTCTTTATTATATGTAAACAATACATATACTCCTCAGGTAGTGTCATTGACCTTCATATAGAGCCTGGCGAAGGCTGAAAAGGGTTAAGAATACAGACCTGCTCCCATTATCAACAATTAAACGATTACTAAACACGATTAAACAACTAAATAAATTACTAATTTATTTATAGACATTCAGCGTCTTAGGCGATAACGTATTTACAAAGAATCCAGAGAGCATTTCTTTAAATTAGAATAAATAAGTCAAAGGAATTTGTTTATACTTCTCTAAGAGCAGAGTGATAACACCGAAGATGAAATTAATGAATGTCCACAGAATTTAGGAGAACAAACTATTGACATAAGTTTCCGTGGGCTTTACCGCACATTAAGCAAAAACCAACAATCGTTTGAAAATATGAAACTGATTTCTTAACTTCACTAGCTTAAAATTTGCGATTCGACCAGATTATGATCTCAGTATCAATGGAAAGAGCACATGCACTACAGAACTGCAAGCTCTGCATCTGAAACCGGACGAGGCCAACTGAATTTTGGACTCAGCTGCCAGTTCCATTGAAAAAAAAAGAAAAAAATGAATGTGTTTGTATAGCAGTGTATCAGTTGCCAAGTTTGGGCAAGAATTACAACGTAATCAAATTAGCACCAAAAACTCATCAAAATATCATCGTGGGTGTGTCTATTTTTACAACACATGAAAAACGGCTGAATATTTTTTTTCTATTTTTTTGTTTTTGTTTTTCATAGTTTTCATAGTTGTTTGGTTTTTCTATTTTTTGTTTTGTTTTTTATAGTGTCCTTCTGACAATGAGCTCACTTGAGGGAATCACTAGATGAGAAAGGCCTAATTTTTAATTCTCAAAACATTTCGATCAAGTATGCCGACATTCGGGAAAAAACTGCCACCAAAAAACACAGTACCCTCAGGTTCATGGGACTAAATGTTGCCAGAGAATTAGTTTTCCCCAGAGGCCCTTGCCACATATGGAAATGCTAATTAAATTAACTAATTGTTATATTCATTACATTATTTTTCTTGAAAAAAAAATTCAATTGAGTAATTTACCACGTATCAAAGCCACAGAAAACAAACTCAAAACTATATTTTGTTTTCTCCTTTTTTCTTTTTGAACTGAAGTTCTTATATACATTTAAAATAGTTCATTCGCAGCCCCTGGAAATTTTGACCCATCATTCTTTCGCAGGTTTTGTCAACATTTTGAAGGTATTCAGGTTCATGGTGACCATCTGTGAAACAGTTGTATTTCATAATTTGGATTGACATTTTAGACTGATTTGTTCCGTATCAATGAGCTCAATATATTTTTCTATGATACGCATACATTTCGTGACCTCTGGAAGTAAAATTGTTGGCCAAGTTTGGCAAGGCGGAGCGGCAATTCACGCTTGCCTATAGGTCCACTTGAAATAGGTGTTATTATCCACTTAACTGAGAGCGCACACGAGCTTGTGGCATTATCCGCGCTGGTTTCAATTTCACGGGAATATTCATAAATTAGCATTGAAGACGTCGATACTGAGACAATCCTAAGCCATGAAAAGACAATGGACCTGATAAGTAGCGTTGATAACTGGAAAAAAATAGACAAGGTTATCGACCGTGGCGCTCTCTAGGCCACGGTCTAGGTTGAAGGTATGGTACCTTTTATGACGATGCTCTCGGCTTAAAATCTTCAATTCACATGAATGTTACCGCGGAAATTCGGGGATCATACCGCGCTATACGTCACTGAAAAAAAAGATTGGTAGAATTTACCATTCCTTCATGCTGTATTTCACACAGCGTCAATTCAGAGTCAATCCTGCCAGAAAAAAGGTAAACGTTACTATATACTGGTAAGTACAGGTAACCCTAACCATTCCTATGGCAGAATCGAATATGCCAGAAAATCGTTATGTATGTATATAATACAGCGTGAAGGAATGGTAAATTCTATCAATCTTTTTTTCAGTGTACGCATGAAATGTTGAGTTTAATAGAAAGATCCTTTTACGGCATTCGTTCCAACATATTTTTTTTTGGTTGTCGCATGAGTCGGGCGATAATAGCCTGACTTGAGACGTCACACTTCGAGGACTGTCTTACTTGTCATGACATGCGCTTTCTCAGGAAAAATTTGAGTGCAAGGGTATCCCTTACAGAAGCACGGGTACACTCTCGTCTTTTCTTTTTTTGACACGGACGTATACCTACCTGTTTTTGAAAACAACTTGGGTTAATTTTCTCTGCTTTTCCTGATTTTGATCAAATGCAAGTAATTTTGTAACCTCAAAATTTTGTCGGGAACCTCGTTTTTCAAAGTCAGCAGCCCCTTTCAGTATTCAGGAATAATTGGGAGACTTCAAAATAATGAGATTCGAATTCTTCTGAGTCAATTCTACAGACTACAGAACACCACTTTTTTATGACCAAAATATTGGACCGTCATTTGAATTCTTTTTCATTCCGATCGTATAGGGAAATTTGTAATTGAAACATGAGTAAAAATCTTGACAAATTTAGTTCAGTGACTTTATAAGAAGTTGCATAATGTTACGTGTGCTTACACGATATGAGGGGCAATTCTTGCAAGTTGGAAAAACGATTTAATCTGAATGCAAATCATTTTTATACGTCGATTGTTCTCGGTACATTCAATTGTAGAAAAAGGGGGGTTGTCAAATTGCAAGAATTGCCGCAGCATGCTGCAAATAATTGATGCCCGAACTAAAAAACTGAGATATGACGATTCCAAAAAGTGAAATTTGCTGATGGTGCTGTACCGTAACTTTAATTCCAGCATTCACTACACCTCACAAGTGTTCTCGGCGGGAATAATCACTGTCCAATAGGATAGGTTGGTGTATGCGCATTTTCCTCACACAATGTATGCAGCCAAATGACTCACGTATGACGGGGACATTCATGCACTGGTCATTAACTTTTTCCCTCAGCAGTTTCTTTTACTCGCTTCAAGGTCGGGCTTGAACTTGATTTAACAATTGGTCTTACGCTTGCTGGTGTTTCAATGGCGTATTGCCTCGATTGATTTTCAATGCAAGTTTCGCCAGTTGTCTATCTCCTTAAAATAGTGATTAGTTTCGAAATGCGACACGATTAATTGTTGGACGTTGATCACATTATGGTGTACGTAGATGCAAGATAATTGCAAGTGGAAAAAAATGAATATTGCAATTTCTCATTTTTAACCTTAAACCGTGTAAGATAGTGGGAACTGAGGTCTATGCTTGAAATTTATGGCAGCAGAATCGGTATATACATTGAAGGGATAGCAGTAGGGCGTTGACAAAAGAGATGCTGCGTTGTCAGTTGCCCTATAACCTTTGGGAAGATAGACACATATGGCGTTTGAGTGTCGCAGAACGCCATAGTGCGTAAAAGGAGTGACATTTATATATGCAAAATTAGTAAGTTCAAAAGTTTAGAAACGTACTTACAGTGGATGTCCATTCGTAAGCTCTTCATTTTAATTTTTGAAATTTTCGGTCCCCCCGTAAATTTTGATTATAATTTGAACAAATTTGAATGTGAATTTGATTTGTGCGAAATGCATCCCGAACCCTACACACACGTCTTCTTTTTCTCCATTTTCATAGATAAATTTAAAGAATCAATGTGATTAGATAACGTAAGAAATTAGGAATTTAGAAATAATCATTCCATAAAAAAGTTTACCTACACAATTTGATTAAGGAACATCAAAATGACCAAAGTATAAATCACTTGAAAAGAGAAGGTAGCCTAACTGTTCGTAATTATCATCACCTATCTTATTCATTGAACAGTCCTGATAAAAAATGTAAAATTTCGCCAAAAAGGTAAAAAAAAATTGACTTACTGCAATTAACTCACAGTATCCACCGAAAGATTCATGTAGTGATATTGATAACAGGCACGTATCCTTTGATGGGTAATTGAGGACACCGCACCAAGAACAGCCTATAGGCGTATAGGTCGTTATTATTAACGCTCATCTGCTTTTCGGATTCTACGTACCCTGAACTATGATGTGGTAACGATAGAATATAGATAGGTAACGGCTCGAGGTCGAAAAACCTTTTTTTTTTTTCGAGTTAAGTCAGGCCACTGGATCGATGGGTGCAAGAGGGGATAAACTTAAGGGCCTATAAAGTGCTAGTTACCCCTTTCATTACTCACTATCGGTATTCTTTCATTTTGCGTTAATCATGCGTGATTAAAATGATTAATACTTCATATTGCCACCAAAATGACTGTTGGGCGTAATAATGACCTAAAAACCGCTTTTTTAAATTAAATATATTAGAGTGTAAACCCAAAATGTATCGCAAAATCTACCCGGCATCCTTCAATAGAAGGGTTAAGTCACCCAAAAACACCAAAACAGGGTACCTGCATAGAAACGTCTGCGCAGTACATAAAAAACAAAACTTTAAATGCGTTATTCTCAAAACACGGTTTCAAGTTATAGGCTGTTCTTGGTGCGGTGTCCTCAATTGAAATAGCCTTCTTGCACGCTGGGCTTGTCGATTTCCTTTGACATTTTTGCAGTGGTGAATGCATAGCTAAAGTGCGCTTCAGCTAGAAGTTTATTTAGCAAATGGGCAATTTTTATACGAGGATTATAAATAAACAATTGGTTAGAAATGAAAACAAAAGAATATGAACTATGCAAAACGATAATCCAGATACCGGAACTTAGCTACTTTGAAAACGCCTTCAAATACGGCGTGATACCTCACGCATTCCGGAGAGTTCAAATAGTTGTATCATTGCGCCTTAGAAATGCGACAGAAGATTACAATTGAAATAGCCCTGTACACACTGGCTTTGTTGATTTCCTTTGACACTTTTGCAGTGGTGAATGCATAGCTGAAGTGCGCTCCAGCTAGAATTGTATTTATAGCAAATGAGTGGTTTTTATACGAGGATTAAAAATAAGCAAGTGGTACGGATCATAACGAAAGAATATGCGCTGTGCAAAACGATAATCCGGGTATCGGAACTTGGCTGCTTTGAAAACGCCTTCAAATGCGGCGTGATACCTCACGCATTCTGGAGAGTTCAAATAGTTGTATCATTGCGCCTTAGAAATGCGACGGAAGATTACAATCGAATAGCCTTATACACGCTGGCTTTATCGATTTCCTTTCAAATTATTGCAGTGGTGAATGCATAGCTAAAATGCGCTCCAGCCAGAAGTTTATCTAGCAAATGGGTAATTTTTATAGGAGGACTAGCGACCCGTACGTGCTTCGCACGTATAAAACATACAATCAGAGAAAACAGAATTCATCTCACAATAATCATAATCAGTAGGACATGAATCGTTGCGTTGTATTATACGACATTATAATGCGGCATTACTATTATAATGCGGCATTACTATTATAATGCATCATAATAGATTATAGGCATTATAAATCATTATTACCACGTGGGAATGAAATGCAGAATGAATTGAAAAGCATGTTGGCAAAATGTATTACAAAAATAGTATAACATGTGGGTACATAACATAAAGATAATACAAATTAAATGATTAGAGCGTGTATATTTTATTACATTATAGGTATATTATAATCATTTTTGTCATTGTTGGAAATTTTAATGGATTGAAATTTGATAGTTGATAGTTTGATAGTTGAAAATTTTGGCATTTTATTTAGTTAAGGTGATTCGATAGACGCCATATTTTTTATCAGAACGGAATGCGATATATCGCATCAATTGGTTCCATTTTTTCAGCTGCTCGTCATTTTTCTCCAATTTTAAGATCGCAATTCTGTTTTCATGAGACTAAAGCACTCACTTACCAATTTTAAAAAAGCAGTTCAAACAATTACCAATTACCAATTTTAACAAAGAAGTTTATCAGCACCTAGATCAGATCTAAACATTGATTCTTTATAATGGCATTGGTAATTAATTTCCATAGAATTTGGTAAAGATTCAGTACTGATTTCATGATTTTGATTAAAATTATTTTGGGTTTGTAGTGCTGATGAAGAGGAACAACTTGACATTTGAAATTCTTTACATTTTAATTGGCACAAAGATGTCTCACTCTTACATTCATACAATACATCAAAATGACTTTGCCATAAATCACCTGAAAACCGTAATTTCGAACTATTCAGAGAGTTTCCAAGCTTGTATAATTTTTTGCCATTGAAAAAGATTTCAAATTCATGATTAAAAATTTCAGTTGCTGCCCTCAATTCACAAGTTGAGCCAAAAATACCATTTTTTAACATATTTTGAGAACACTCAGTTGCTGATTCATAGTTATCACCAGTAAGTGTAGCAGATTTAATGTGGAAGTCTCCCCAATTTCGGTTAACATAATCAACCATTTGCTGCCTGACTTCAAAATGAAAACATTCATTACCGCAACAGCAGAAAAGAGGCAATTTCCATCTTTAGCAATACTTTTGACATGGTGTTTGATTTGCTTGCCATCAATATGTAAAATCTCACAAGACATTATTTATGTTCAAATTTAAACAGATTTTAAAAAAATTGTAAATTCAGAGCAGGTTCGGCCAGCTAATATCCTTAAAATTATTTCATGTGCACAAGTATACCTAGGAAGGCAATATCGACACTTCATCAGGCTCTATTGACGACAGAACTGTAAATTCAACAAATTTTGTTTGGTTGTATTCCTTGACAGAAACGTTGTAAAATCTGAAATTGGTGTCTAGTAAATGATTCATCATAAGGCCATCTATAAGGTCGTTCCACGCATTGAGGACAATCTGAAAATAAATAAGAAATTGCTTTAGAATTTTATTAGACTTGATCATCATAATTATTGGTATATGATATTTCTTACATTTATTGAGTCATATTTATTTTATAAATAGTATGGAGCCACTAAGGTGTTTTTTTAAGTGCGCTCCAGCTAGAATTGTATTTAAAGCAAATGAGTGGTTTTTATACGAGGATTAAAAATAAACAAGTGGTATGGATTATAACAAAAGAATATGAACTACGCAAAACGATAATCCAGACATCGGAGCTTGGCTGTTTTGAAAACGCCTTCAAATGCGGCGTGATACCTGACGCATTCCGGAGAGTTCAAATAGTTGTATCATTGCGCCGTAAGAATGTGACGGAAGATTAAAATGGAAGTAGCCTCCTTGCACGCTGTTCTTGTTGATTTCCTTCGACACTTTTGCAGTGGTAAATGCATAAGTGAAGTGCGCTTCAGCTAAAAAATTACTTAGCAAATGGGTAATTTTTATAGACGGATTGGAAACAAACAAATGGGAGGAAATAAAACATAATAATAGGAACTATGCAAAACAATAATCCGGATAGCGGAATTTGGCTGTTTTGAAAACGCCTTCAAATAGGGCGTGATACCTGACACATTCCGGAGAGTTCAAATAGTTGTATCATTGCGCCTTAGAAATGCGACGGAAGATTACAATAATTATTACCGTCTGGAGCTGCGTAGAAGAAAAAAATAGCTCAACGGGCGTGACAATAGCTTGACGAGATGGATGACGATGGATGTGGGATACTGTAAGAATTAAAGAAAGTGCACGAAATAAGTAGCTTCCATCTTTAAGCATTGAAAATGCCAAGAAAAGCCTTGTAAACCCATCTATTTTGAGAGCAAGATCGAAGTCATGTTCTGCCGTGCTAAGGAAAAAAGCCATGTGAACCTTCCGGTGTTGCGAAATTTCCTTTGATAAAACACGAATTTCTTGGTAATCTTCTTAATATTTTCCTTCCAATTTTTCAGATAATTTTGTTCGAAAATGTCACTTAAAGTTCCTGAAAATCTCAAGGTAAAAGATTCGTATCTTTCTTCTAAAAATAAACATTTTATCGAAGGAAATTTGGCAACTCTCGAATGTTCATACGGCGTTCTACCTTGGCACGGTAGTGTTATACCTCGAGTAAACCCCCATGAGGGAACATAATATGACCCAAATCGTTGAGTTTGTTGCATCATACAGAATTGAAGGCGTTTTGAATGAGCATCCTCAACAATTCTGGGCCTATTAAATATATTTATACAAACTGTAGGGCCTAGGGGACGCCCAGTGAAAGGTTGGCGACAGGGGGTGTTAAGTGAGATGAGGGAGTGTCAACTCCCTGATAACCTGTGGGAAGACCGAGCTTTGTGGCGATTAGGTGTCGCAAAGCGCCAAAGAGCGCTATAACAGCGACTCGTATGTATGTATACAAACTGTCACATTCAGTAGGGTGTCGTATCATTAAAAGAGTCCACATACCTCTCTCACCTTATTGAAAAGCGTCATATTTGTTGAGTTCGGTACATCTTACCAGTGGCGAGGCGTGAATAATCGATTATTGGGGCGTTCGCTGCGAACACCCTGTTTATCGATCCTTTTCCATAGGTTTATATGGCAGATCATCCGATGTATCGAAATTCACGCCACGCCACTGCATCTTACTGATGTGTTGACATTTTAAGAGTCGCTAAAACAGAAACGAAATCGAACTTCTCACTCTCTTTCAAATAAAAGTTAATTTAAAATTTAATGTCTATTAAGTATAGGTGAAAATTTAATGTTGAGTGGTTAATTTCCTACGGGAAATGAAAAGGCTCGAAAGGATTATATGAAAAACTGAAAAAAACCATGGTATTGGAGCTGCTGGAACCTTATCAGTTTCTGTAGCAGTGATAAGGTGTCAACTTTCGATTTTTTGTTGAAAACGTTGAGTGTATTACTGCTTGTTTTAAAGAGACTACAGTGCAACGTGTCTCAGTTTGAACTCAATATTTACTGCCGGACATAATTTTTAAAAAGTCAGTGAACATATATGTATTAGTAAGCAAAAACTTTGATCTTAAAGTGAACACTCAAACGACCTTATAATAAAGCCACACACCGAAGTGAAACCAAGATCAAAGGCTCGCGCAGGATTTTCCAGTGACTTAAGCAACGAGGTGTAACGAGGTTAGTCAAGAGATAAATGTAGTTCAAGAAGATAGCTACCAGTAATAATTCCTTAAAGTAAAAAAACAAGCAGTAGAACAAAACCTGAGTTTTTTCAGTACATGTAAAATTGTTGTTCATTCTCAAAAACATTGTAAATAGCTGAGTTCTTAGTATCTTAATATGATCGCCTCCTTTCAGCAAGATCTAGGGTGGTTTTTAAATGAATGATGTTTTGGTTTAGAGCTGCGGATTCTGAGATAGAGTCTTCGATCGATCATTTCCTGTTGAAATCGGTTCAAAAATACCTCGCAGAATGCTTTAAGAGGGAGGGGAGGAGGGCTTGTGTATGATTCAGCTTTATATACTTTCGGATTATTCGTGTACACGTTTTCATACACATAATCATTCATGATAATTCACTTTCATTTTCACTGGATGGATCAGAAGTCACTGATTGGGATTATATTGGGGTCACAAAATAGTACAGGGAAAAGGGTAGTAGTTCAGTTTTCTCCACTTTATAGAGGTGCCTCAGCAGTTTTGGCCATTTACACATCTGCAAGTGAAGTATACATTTGGAGATAACACGAAGGATAAGAAGGGGGAAACATAAAAATATATACGCACTTAAAATAAAGGTCATCTGCCAACTGATTAAGACCATAGAAATTAAATACCTATAGGAGCCAACGTGTTTCTAACGGTGGTTTTATGGTCATAATTTTCATATTATTACCAATTTTGACTTGGCCGAACGAAAAATAATACTTGTTTTTCAAACAACCGATGATTTCGATCGCACCTATTAAACCTCCAAACTTTTATACTTTTCACGAGTGCAAAATGAGCAAAAAATAGATTTAAATCTATCAAAATTTATAGATACGTTAATTGATCCTGGACACGATGAATTTATCAGGGATCGCTTATTGTCCGAGCACCTACCAATTTCATGAGAAATCTTGGTAATATGTGTGACGTTCTTATTTTTTGTTAGTTATGAAAACAGTTCTTTTGACTGTATCAATCGTCTTACTCACAAATCTCGGTTCATGCTCAACAACAGAAGCAATTTCAACCAAAGCAAATGAAGAACCAATCTCAGCATATTCAAATACGCTCACAGTGTCAATCAAATCAACTAAATTGGAATCCAAATCAACTGAAATGGGATCCAAGTCAAAATTGGAGGTAGGTGTTTTGCGTTCAAGCGCCAGGTTTTAATTTCTAAAACAGTCGTGAGAGAATGAAATTTTGAAATTCCGCTCCCCTTCCCTTCACTCGAAAAATATATTCGAAATTTTAGTGATTGCTGTGTGAATACATCAGCGTAAGTGCAAAACGATTGCCAGATTGTGGTGCAAAACTGACAATTCTCCCTCTCTTAATATTGTAAATGTAAATACCTAAATGTTAGGTTTGAGTCCCTTTACACTCCCGCGGCTTCTCGCTGGCGTCTTGTAGACAGAATAAAAAATGCCTTTTTTTCCTATTTTCAAGGCACTTTTGTCTTTATGGCAATAGAAGACTTATTTGAGTATTGGAAAAACGGCGTTAGTGCAACACGATTGCCAAGTTGTGGTGCAAAACTGACCATTTCTCCCCCTCTTATCATTGTAAATGTAAATACCCAAATGTTAGGTTTAAATCCCTTCTACATTGATCCCACGGCTTCTCGCTAGCGTCTTGTAGACAGAATAAAAAATGCCTTTTTTTTCTATTTTCAAGACAATTTTGCCTTTATGACAGTAGAAGACTCATTTGAGTATTGGGAAAATGAAGAAAATACGATTATTTTGCAAAGAGCATTGCCACGACACCCTTCCCTTCCTGGATGCACAATGTGAATGTTTTATTTGTCTTAGCAATCGACGATAAAAGAAATTTATGTCGTCTTTCGTCCAATAAGAATAAAATGCTTCTAATCATCTTGTATAATTTTTATTTTGCCCTCACAGCTCAGATCTCCCGAAACTTCAGACTTTGCTAAAATCCGACGGAGCGACTCGTTCATTGACAAAACTGATTTCATCCACGAGTGGTTAATCCACCAACCCAAAAACTGGTACGTGCCTGCTCCTCCAGGCTTCGGAAAATCTTCCCTCTTGAGCATGGTGCGGTACTTCTGCGGTGGACCTCTGACGGCGGATGAGGGCACTCCTGGCACTCTCAAAATCGACTCAGAAAAAAATCCTGACAATTTATTTCGTGGCACATTGGTCTCGGAACTTAAAGACTTCTTCCATCGGCATTTCCAGAAGTACAATGTCGTGTCTATTGACCTCTCTCCGCTGAGAGAAGCGACTGACTACCGCTCTTTTCGCCACCTTTTATGCGGAGTCCTTAGCAACTTGGTGAACAACTATCTACCTCTCCTTGAATCCAATAACTTGGAAGAGATCAAACATGAGTTTTTCGAAATGCACAATATAACCGATAAAGACCATACGCCTGCGTTCTGTCACCTGAACTACTATCCATTAAAAGAACACGTACCTCTACTGGTTAAAAAGCTCAAGGAACACACCGGAAAAGATATTATCGTGCTTGTTGACGACATCGATGCATCACTAAAGGCCGTCTTGATGAATAACATCACAACCAGTGATTACGAAATATTTTCGGATCTACAATTATTCGTAAGAAGTTTCACCGAGAGAAGTCCCTGGGGCCCGGCCAAATGTCTATTCACCGGCTCCTTTGACCTCCGACTAGCGATACCCGGCAACGCTTCCATCCAAATTTCAGATTTCTTCCGCGATAAACGCATCGCGGTATATTTCGGCCTGACCCAACGAGAAGTTGAAAAGTTATTGCTCAATTACTCACTCCAAGATCATAACGATGAGGTGAGAAGAATGTTAAATGGGATAAATATAATGGGCTCCTCGGACACTTTGTTCAATACCCGGGCTGTTCTTTCATACATAAAGAAGCGCAACATCTCAGAATTCGATGATTTAACTAGTACCATCTTGCGAGGCTTTAAGAATTTATTTGCCGATGAGTGGATTGGCCAGGATATCACGCAAATTTTATTTGGAGACGGCATTGTCATCAAAGAAGATCGTGATCTAGAGTATACAGATCTTTCAGGTTTGAAGACGAAAGTAACAGATGGATCAGCTCTGGAGACACATTTTCACCTGAACAAGCCCCAGCATGATATTTTTATCCGGATTCTCTTGAGGCTAGGACTGATGAAGATCGTCAAATACAACCAGCATGGCAGGCTTACTCTAGGTCCGACCAATACATTTACCGCGGGAATCCTCAGGGATTACTTTTATAAAAGTAGCTACATAGAAAGATATTACAAAGTCAAAGCCCGTGACGGTGTGTTATTAACCAGCGCAATCACGGATTTGACTCCATCCAATTTCTCCATTCAAGCATTTGGAGGAGCGATTTCAAACATCGTGAAGGAATGTGTCCCGGACGATGAAGCTCACTTCAAGTCCTTGATCTACATGTTCGCGCAAAAGGCAGCAGACCATTATAGTAAGGATATCTTGTTGGAGACGAATGTCCCCATCCAAATCTATGACAACGGGACTCTGAGGGGTGGCCCGTTATCGGAGAAGACTATCGATCTACTCATGGTGGAAAAACGGAAAAGCATGGGGATCATAATTGTTATAAAGTTTAAAATCAACGCTGTTCAAGTTTTGAGGCTTATTAAATCCCGAAGATGTATAGAAGTTTTTGACGGAAAACGTTACTCAAAATACAACCTGATGGATAAAATGGTGATCGGAATTTCGGTTTCACATTCGGGGTCGATAGATATCAAAGGGGAAGTCCTCTTGGAAACCGGGATTATCAAGCTGAGTTACTATTGGCCAGAGCCGAAAATGAGTCAACCACAGCCACAAGGAACTCAGTCACCGTCACAAGTAACTCAACCACTACCGAAAAAAATTCCAGTAAGTTCTGCACCACCACCAAACGGCCAACGTGAAAAAAAGACGGACAGAATTAAAGAAAAAACCAGGGAAAAACAAATAAAGGATTACATGCGCAACTTGCGCAACATGCGCGTTTGATGTTATAGTTAGTCGGACATACACTGAAGTCATGTCGCTGGAGAAAGCACCTCTATTATTGTGCTTATGCATGGCAAAGTTATTACACTCAATTCAGTATTATGCCGTAGACCGTAAAGGATTAACAACCGTGCAGTCAAAGATGAAAAATTTCCATTGAACTAATAAAAATGATTCTCTTGGCGAGAAATTAATCATGTAGGGTCCAGGTTTTTGCATCGTTTTTTTTTAATTTTTATTGTTTCCGACTGAATATGACTCAGTTTTTATTGAAAACGTCTCGGGTTTTATTAATTGTGTATTTTTTAGCCTTGTTTCCAGCTTTTCCTCCCTGTATTTCCCACTGAAATTAATCATGTAGACCAGTGGCGTGGCGTGAATTGCGATGTATCGATTGTTATGACATTTAAACCTATGGAAAAGGATCGATAAACAGGGTGTTCGCAGCGAAAACCTTCATAATCGATTCCTTGACATAGGTTTAAATGGCATAAAAATCGATACATCGCAATTCACGCCACGCCTCTGATGTAGACTTTGGGTTCGTCAACTCGGTAAGTAGTCCGAATGAATTCTCTTTAAAGAAAAAGAAGAAAGAAAATAAATATTTGTATATTGACAAACACGGTGCGAGGTATATTTTTGGTGAACAAGTTATTGCATTTGATTTCAATTGATTAATTGATGAAGAGAATGATTCTGTAGGTGTGCACATATACGGGGCAAGATTATTTCATTCGAAGTAACGACGCGACGCACAGTGGATCGAGTCAATAGGAGAGGTCGGACAAAATTCGGAGACTTTAAACGCTTAAAACTCCGTTTATATAAAGTTTTTAGGTTCTGAAAGTGGTTCCATCAGTTTTTTCGTAAACTTTTCTTCTTAAAGCACTCCTTGAAATATAAAATGTGACAAAATAAACATCAAAATTTGCAGTTTTAGTTTAAAATTTCATGCCCGACCTCTCTAATTGACTCGATCCACTGTGCGACGCGTCGCGACGTATGTCCCTTGCAGGGCCGGATTAAGGGGATGGCCACATGGGCGGCCCATGGCGGTAAATCTAGGGGGCGGCAAATTTTGCGATTTTTTTAAAAATAGGTTTAAAAAAAATTACGACAAAATCTTTCATTTCCTGAGAGTATAGTAATTTCTAATTTTGTCGTCTTTCAGTGATACAAGAGACAGCACCTTTAATTAGTCGACTTGAGAGAGAAACCAAACACGCAATTAGGCCTGGAATGGCGCGACATAGAGAGAAATGATGACGAGGACAGATGAAAAGGAGAAGCCCTCGGCGCGGCCGCAGGCGCAGAATTGCATTTTGCAGCGATTTTACAAGCATTACCAGTAAAGACGTTGCAATAACGAATATGTGATTCGGGGGAGTTCTTCCTCTCTTCTAACTCACCGAGGAGGTGAGGACGGACGCTCTCGTAAAACACTATTTTGTTGTTACAACATTTTCCCTAGAAAATGCGACTAAAAGTGCAGAAAGATGCACTTTCAATCCTGCTTTTCTCGAAATGTTTACACGTAGAATGAACATTTTTTTACAGTTTATCGTGTTCACTTTTTTTGTGCTATCACGAAAAACAGCATATTGAAAAATGATGGCATTCAGCCGGCATCAAATTTTTCCGTCACCCTTTTCCCTTTCAGAGGCCTTGCGCTGTCTCTGTATTTTTTGCAGCGATATTTTTTTTGCAATTTAAGGAGTTTTATTAATTTCCGTTTAAGGAACACGGGGCGCCAAGTAACGGATTTTTCACTGCACATATTTTCAGAACGGTCCCTCTACGATCATAAAGTGCCTGTTGCAAACTTCAGCTAGAGAAAAAAGAAGAGATGTTTCTGACAGGAAATGGATCATCAAAAATCATGATGAGCGCATTGGGAAATTCTGAAATCCACACCTCTAACTTCACAATTGTTTTACTACTTAATTGCATTATATGCCCGGCAAATTTTTGTCAAAATTTCCCTTTCAATTTAAACTCTTTTGGTGGAAGCTAAGGGCATGAAAAATGTTTTAAGTTGATCCAAATAGTTTGCATATATCCATGTTTTAGAGCATTAACATGATACATTAGAGCATTTTAGAGCATTAACATAAAATTACGATGTCAGAGGAGTGGATAAATATTTCACCTTTTAAACTTAATCATCTCATAAGGGAGCCTCATTTAACTACTTCATTCAGTTTTTATACATTAATGCACCAAAGTAATGTTTCATGCTCAGAGAATGGCAGGAGACAGGTTGCCGAAGAAGGTCCTTGATTGGGTTCCTCCTGGAAGAAGGCGCAGAGGGCGCCCAATGAGAGGTTGGAGGGAGGGGATTAAAACAGAAAATAATATTAAGGTGCTCAATGCCCCAAGGGTTGTGGTTCGACAGAGAGCAATGGAGGTTAGGTGTCGTAGAGCGCGAGAAAGTTAGTCAGTTAGTTAATTTATTTAGAGACATTCAGCATCTTAGGCTATAAACGTCTTTGCAAAGAATAGGAAAGATGGGTGGATATTCAAAAATTTAGATTTTTAAATCAAGGGAGGCAAAAAGTTTCAGTAGTTTTCAATTCACTCAACAAGATGCTAAAAAAGCTATGTGCGAACTCATCAACAGCTCGCGGGAACAAGATTGGCGCACAAGAGACCGTGCTATTAAGAGACTTGTATGTATGTATGGTTGGTTGGTAGATACGTTTATTTGGCGCTTTTAACAATTGAGCCATTAAGACCTTAGAGGGGAGATCAAAATAGTGTAGTACATCAGAATTTAAAAATTTAAAAAGTACGGGTCACAAAAGGGTAGTACACTAAATTAAAAGTCAGGACAAGGAAAGAATACATTTTTGGAGATTAATTTGTTTGAAAAAGAGAAGGATTTCATGAAAATGCTTTTAAAGTATGGTTGGTTGGTAATTACGTTTATTTGGTGCTTTTAACAATTGAGCCATTAAGACCTTAGAGGGGAGATCAAAATAGTGTAGTACATCAGAATTTAAACATTTAAAAAGTACGGGTCACAAAAGGGTAGTACACTAAATTAAAAGTCAGGACAAGGAAAGAATACATTTTTGGAGATTAATTTGTTTGAAAAAGAGAAGGATTTCATGAAAACGCTTTTAAAGTATGGTTGGTTGGTAATTACGTTTATTTGGTGCTTTTAACAATTGAGCCATTAACACCTTAGAGGAGAAATCAAAATATGGTACAGAATTTAAAAATTTAAAAAGTACGGGTCACAAAAGGTAGTACAATATTAAAAGTTAGGACAAGGAAAGAATACATTAAATTTGGAGATTAATTCGTTTGAAAAAGATAGGGATTTCACGAAAATACTTTAAGAGGATGGTATGGAAATCAGAAAGTGGAGGGAAATTTTTGGATTTTAATTTTTGATTTGTAGGGCAAGTTATTAAAACATGTTTAACTGAGAGAGGGACATAAAAAGAGATGCAGGTTGGGCGTTGGGGGTTGGGCGTTGGGGGTTGGGCTTTCTTAATTATGTACTGGTGGGTGAAAGACGTGTGCCCAATGCACAGCCTGGTTAATTTTACTTGATCTGCTCGTGGCAGATCAGAAAGTTGAGGGAATATATGGACATTGGAGGATTTTTATGTTGGCAATACACTGTCCGCACTCTTGTTGCCAATTTGTGTAGATTTCTCTTTTGATGTACTTGTTGAGGTCCTCGGCTGTGACAGTCAGGGGGAGGAAGGGGCCAGCAGATGATATGTATGTATGTATGTATGAATGTATGTATGTATATATGTATGTATGTGCGAAAAAAGTTAAAATATTTATAAACACTAAGAATCGAGAGGTTTCTTTTTTCTTTTTTAAGGGGGTGAAAGAGTCAGGAAGGCGGTCAGTTAATTGCAATGGGTCTAATATATTTCCAGTGGACCCTCCCCCCCTCCTACTGTTCCTCGGGACTCCTGACATTTGGACGCTTGGAATCCCTCAACCTCCTCACCATGAATGTCCGCTCCCAATTTTAAACTAATTTCAAACAATGGTTTTTTGAATATTTCAGGTGTCGAATTCGATCGGAGCCCTCGATTGGGCACATATTTTGGACTAACGAAGGCTGAAGTAGATAGATTGCTAGAAAATTATGCTCTGCAAGATCAATCTCACATGGTAGCAGGTCTATATGACGCGCACTCAGTCGTTCAATCACCGTCAGTAATGAACACAAATCGTCACCTTCCAGGCAAAGTATCACAAGCGCCATGCGACGTTTAAAAATTTCCGCCGCCATTTTATTTTTTTACTGAGAAATTGTTGGTTGAATCTGTTTGGAAATTTCACTAAATTTTATCGGCAGCACAAAGAAAATTCAGTGAAATTTTCGGACAGCTTCGTTGAACAATTTCTCTGTAAAAAAATAAAATGGCGGCGGAAATTTTTAAACGTAGCATGGCGCTTGTGATACTTTGCCTGTAATGAACACAAATGCTGTTCTAAAATACATCCATAATGGAGGAAATCCACTCGCCCACCACACACCTACTGCTGTTTTGCGGGTCTTTGATAAACTATTCAGCGATGAACATATCGGTCGCTTTATGACTTCGTGCGTCTTCGATGGCACATATGTCACGGAAGCCACCTACAATACTCGGTTTCAAAACTTACTCGCGCTGAAACAGAAACTGAGAAAAAGCCGTCCGTTTCGAACTGATTTTGGACTGAGCCATCAGGATCGCGAGATCTTCATCAAGCTCCTGATCAGGCCAGGACTCCTTCATGTTTTGGAAGACTTCATACTCAAACACGTCAAGAAGGAACGGAATTCGTCTACCGTAAAATAACGTACCATCGTTTAGCGCCGACCAACTATTTCGCCGCAGGAATTCTGCGAGATTACCTGTACAAAAGCGGGTACACGGAGAAACTCTTCAGGGTCATAGCGAAAGACGAGATTGCTATTATTGAAGCATTTAGGAATCTGGCCCCGACGATTGCTTCGATAGATAAATTAAAGGATGCCGTTCATAGTATCGTACAAAGGAGGGACCCCAAGAATGACACCAACCTGGAGGCTTTGATATACACGTTTGCGCGTAAAACGGCAGATCTGTACAGCGAGGAGCTCGTCGTAGACGCTGGAACAGTCGCGCACAGCAAGAACGAGGAAAGAGCAAAAACGCGGAAAGACAAACCAACGAAATAGGGAAGAGTAGATGTGCTTTTGGTACAAAGAGAGAAATGTTTAGGAGTTGTCATTGTAACGAGATATGGTGGTAATTCCACTTCCCTCGTGGAGGAAGT